GCCCCCAGCCCATAAGGTGCTGTCCCGTCCACGTTCCGCTTGTCTCATTGGGTGCATGAGGCTGAGGGCCGATCCCGAAAAGCGGACCGCCAACCAACGCACCAGCGAAAAACACACTGAACCGAAATTTAAAGACCTTGCGTGACAGGTCTCTAGAAGCTCCCACATGGGTGCTCGGTTCACGCTCCCGCGTTGGATTCACGCCCCACTGCCTTGTGGGTCAGACTTTTGAGTCGAAGGCTGCGGTTAGGGTTCCCAAAGAAAGACCCCCTCGTCGGTGTGGGCAACCGCGAAGTATGCAGTGCCCTAAAGAACCCATTTGGAAAATCATCTTGCCCATCTGTCTAGTCCTTCTCAATTCGCCGTGTCCGTGTATGCACCGACCGATTGCAGTTTGCCAGAAATGAAGGATAAATTCTACAAGGACCTCTCAACTGCCCCAAAGTGCTCGGTTAACGGACACCGTGGTGGTCGCTGGAGACTTCAGTCTCCAGCTGTGGGCTCCCTAGATGCATCAGAAAGGCACTGAGCCGAAGATCTATCCGTTAGGATAAGTCAAACAATTTTAAACTCCTGACTGAGAGGAATGCACATAGAGTAGTAGAGGTATCATTTCTGATACAGAAGTGCTTCTTGGAACATCCCCATTGTTCAGCGCCTTAGTACACTCCCATTTTGTCTGGGTAGAGGAGAAATGATATCGATCGATTTATTGAACAAGGAGTGTAGATTGCTCAAATGGAAACGACAGTTATTCTCAACTATGCTTTTTACTAATGTACAAGAAACAACAGATGAGGTAAACCCCATAATCTCGACAACTTTTGTTGACTCTTGATAACTGAAAATTCGAGGTTTGGAGTGAAGTACCTGACATATTGGACCCCAACAACTTAGTATGCTATGCAAATAACTCGTCCCCTTGAATCTACCCAATGTGCTCTTCCTAGTTGAACTTGGTTATCGAACTCTTTTTGTTCTGAGTTTTATCCGATCTTTGATGTGTTATATTTCACTTGTCTGAGTTCACATTGTGTCAGTCAAATCACTGTTCATCAAAAATTAGTCCATGATGTGTTCATGAGCAGAGAATTGTCAGATTAATTTACTTGGGACATTGATAATCAGAGTCTTTGATTATCAAAAGTTAGCGAGCAGTGTGTGATATACTAACTCTTAGCTGTTTCAGAAGTTGTAGTTTACTACGAATTTGTGCGTTTCTCCAGGTCGCGGATAGGAAAATATTCATCTAGGTAGTTAGCCGGGAATAAATGGACGTCGTGCTTGTGGATGACTTCAGACGATGTTTAAGGGTAGGGCAGGGTTTCGCGATCTCTCTGTCATATAAAAAATCACGAATGTCCTTTGAAAACATCGTGATGGTTGCGAATCTATCCCGCTATTGCATAGAACTACCGTCCGTAATCCTATATCCCTAGGGATAACTTTTTCCTGGGCAGGGATCACAGGGGCACTCAAAGACAATAGCTGAGTCACTGGCGATACCTTTTTGTACTCTTACAAGATTCTTCATGAAAGCCCACCTACCCTCACTTATAAATAAATCACCTAGAAGCAAAATAACTGTTGTATGATTTCAACATTTTGTTGTTCATTGGGCCTAATTTGTGATAACAGAAAACCGCGAACACACTATCTTTTTTGCTTTATGTATCGTTCAAAGTGGTTGATTTCTGTTCAGCCAGGGTTTGGAAAACTAATAGTTCACTCTCGCATTACACCGTTGGTCGGCCTATTGTCTGGCTCTCTGTGTTTCCCTTGCACATGTTGGGCAAGGTTAGAAGAAGCGTCTCGCGCTCAGACCAAGACCTGGCTTTGGGGTAGAAAGAAGTTAGCTTCAGCGTTGGCTTCACTTGTTACGGCCCGCCTCCTAGCTGGTGGCCCAAGGGACGAGGATTGTAGTGGTCAGATACTCTAAAAGTTATGGCTCAGAATAAAATTCAATGGCACTAATGATGTCGGTCTATCTGTTAAAATCCCATTCCCCTTTAAAAATAGACGGAAACAAAAATATCAAAAAGTGTACGGCGAAAAAAGCATAAAACATTGTTTTTCTTGTTCTTTTGTTCTTTATTTTTATTCTTCCAATGCCCTCTCATTTGTACCAAAAGCCCCCTTTTCTATCATTATTAGTGTCGCATTGGCATTGCTCGCAAGCTGGTGGTATATATATATATATATATGCCGGTATTTCGGTATCTGTGACCCTAAAATGGTCATATTCTAAAGGGTCCAAGTCTAACTAATTGTATCACATTCTGGTTCCAAACTTCTGATCGCCGTATAGTCGAGGTCTGTAATTTTTACTCACTTCTGATACCTGCGGTAGTAAAACTTTTATGCCGAGTTGGGTCTTTTAAAATTCGACCACTTTGGTGTCCCGGAGAAGATGATACATCAGTGCATACATACAGTTGTGTAAGAAATAGNCAAATAGCCTCCAGAATCTATTCTTCCCTGAGGGGAACCGTCGACCTGAGGTTTCGAACCATGGATTTTATGGTCTGAAACACGCTAGTGACAGCGAGTTGACCGCGAACACAATTAGTTCATATTTACCAGAATCAACTGTAAATATTTGAATACTTACTAGGTGATAACACAAGTATGATGTATTCTGGTATGGTAAAGTGGTGTATACATTCCCAGCCGACTACACTCACGAAATTAGTCATGTGATACCAGGGATATTTTATGCATTCACCTATATGCCAATTACAAAACAGTGCATTTTTCGAATGAGCCCGTATCTTCATACTGGTCGCCGAATCCGCTTGCTCGGAATCTGATTTGCTCTTTGTGATGCCGCCAAACATGGTTGTAATCTCACAGTCTTCCTAAACAAACATTTAGGCGAATCGTTAATGTCATCCTAGATGTGTCGTTTGCTCTTCGCCTCCCCCTCCCATTCTCAAATAAATTAATAGTTACTTTTTTCGAAATAATTCACATTTCTTTATTACCATTCGTTTTTTATTATCTAGGACGATGGTGCAGGTGGTTGCGCAAAAGAGAAGAAGAAAAACGACAGCAAAGATGAGTCAGATGAGGAAGACGAGGAAAAGGAACGATTCAAAAATAGTTTGGCCAGTGCAATTATTGTCCAGACGCCAAACATCTCATGGGACGATGTGGTCGGCTTGGACGCGGCTAAAGAGGCACTAAAAGAAGCCGTTATTTTACCCATCAAATTCCCGAACCTGTTCACCGGGGGTCGCACACCTTGGCGAGGAATTTTGCTCTATGGGGTGCGTCCCGTAATTCGAATCTCTTGTCTTTTTTGCCTTGTGTTCTCGGAAGTTCCCAATGAGCTATCACCGAACAGCCTAAACTCTACTTTCCTGTGGCGTTTTATAGCATCTCAACGGCCTACCAACGATTCAGTGTGCTTCTAGAACATTCTTCCTGTTTTCTGCATAATTCAAGGGACGCATTATTTTGATCGGGCTTTGTTTGGGGGTATTTAACCTATCACTTCTTATGCTGGTACATTGTGCTTCCATATTGCTATCTCTACCGCTTGTTATACCCCAATCACAGCGCATCAAACAGTATAAAGGTAGAAGTTTACGAACAAGAAGAGAAATAAAATTACTGTCGCACAGCACGCTACTGTCTCCATATTCTAGTTTTGACAGGTTTCTCTGATCAATCCCACTATTCTCGCCGAGGAGCTGGGTAACTCCTGAAATCCCATTCACTTTTTGCGAAAAATTTTCATATGCTCCAATTCGGTTGCCACTGTTCGTAAACAACAAAGCGATAAGTGTGAGAACTCTTCAGCACATTCTTCATGTAGGTACACCAACAGAGAACATAGGAACACTGGCTCAAAAGTCGCTTACAAATATGAAAATACGGAATTGGTTAAAGCACATAAAGCGCTTGCCCCGAACTTCCCAGTTCTAGTCGATGCAGTAGGAACTCAGATGGATTCTTACGCGTATACTGACTTCATACAACAGCAAATCTGACCGGTCCAATTCCTCGGCAGTTTTTATAAGAAAGGCCATATCCCAGCTCCTAAGTAAGGGGTTTCCGGTAATGCTAGTAGCACTTCTGGTTCAAGAGCCATCCGTGTTTATTCTTAGCAGTTCCTTTCCTTCGGTGTCACAAAAGTCACCAAACTGTCACACGAAGTTCCTTGCATATATAAACGATCGCACTTCGGTGACCAATTTACAGGCGGCTTTAATCAGATAAGGCTGACCGTATTCCTTTGACCCCGTTAAGTCGCAGCTTCATCCATGTATGTAAAACCGTTCCGTTTGACTGACTGGATAGACGAAATCACATTTTTAACTCAGGACGTTCTCCATCCAAGCGCATCCTCTCAACAAACCCTACTGTCTTTTAAGGCTAGGGATGACTTTGAATAATGTTGAGGACATCACTCATACCTACTTTCCGTGAAACTTCATGAAGTCTGCTCATCGACTCTCTAGGGAGATAATTGAATTAAGGTGCAAGGTGGTATAACAGCGCAATGCAAGACTCATGCAAATCTTGTGGTACCTACCCATCTGAGACAGAAAATATATTACCAATTCCGTGATAAAAGCCGAGGTTTTCCCTCTAAACAAGGAAACTGTTTAGAATGTTTTTTTTCCTTCTTGAAACCTTCCGGGCGGTGGTAACGTCACCCCGGATTACGTGTGCTCGAATCCCACCACCACCGTTGTCTGACTTTCCCCATTATGTGTTGTATAGCAGCCCGTTGATTGACCGCTTTTCCTTCCTGAAAATTTTATCGTTATGTATTTAATAAAAGGAAGTAAAAATTAAAAGACTGAAATAAAGGCGTGGCCATTACGCGTAGCTCCGCATTAGTAGCTGTCTCTAATATGAAGGGTTATAAAAATATCAAGAAAACAACAGGTGGTAATTCCAGCAGTCGATGGACATGTATTTTCAATCTGAATTGGCGTGTCTTTTATTCAATAAATCTGATCTGCTAAGATCGGTCAGCCGAATAAGTTTCCCCTGAACTAATGTTGATAAGGCTTAATTTCCTCCCATTTTCGCATCTGGTTCCGTTAGACAGTTACCCATAGTTTAGCATGAAAGAAACGAGCGTATTGTTATGTTGCCATATATTTTGATAGTCGCGGAGATATCTTGTGAACTATTCGTTTTCTTGCCGTTCACCCTCCCCCCCCCCCCCCCATTCTTTATTACGACAGCCTCCTGGTACCGGGAAGTCTTTCTTGGCCAAAGCGGTGGCAACTGAGGCCAATAATTCCACTTTTTTGTCCGTGTCCAGTTCGGATTTGATGAGTAAATGGTTGGGTGAATCCGAAAAACTGGTCCGTGCCCTGTTCACCATGGCTCGAAAGAAGAAACCGAGCGTTGTATTCATTGATGAGGTAGATTCCATCTGCGGCTCCCGGAGTGACAACGAGTCAGACTCAGTTCGTCGAATCAAAACCGAATTCCTGGTCCAAATGCAGGTTCGTGTATACCTATGTTACTGCTCAGAGAGTGCGTGCGCGCGAGAGAGATATTTTTTCATATGCTATATATAGATCGTACATTCAATGGCGAGAAAACATTTGGTGGTAGTGACGATGATAATCTAGCAGTTTAACCTGTCACCCGCTTGCGTTGACCCTTAGGTTCCGAGGTTCGAATCCCCTCCCCCCAACAAACATGACTGGGAAACAGGGACTTGTCGCTCCAAATCCTAGGGCTTATGATCCCGATTTGCATGAGCGAACAGTGGGTCCTCGTAACGGTGAGGTTTGCCACTTCTGTTGTCCATCACACAATAGTGTGTAATAGAAGAATATAATGAGATGACCAAAACATTGAATTTTTGTCCAACACTTTCTTTAGAAATTTTTTGTAATGATTAACAAATGTCATTGGACAGCTATTTCGTCCTTAATATGACTCATCAGTAGTGCGTAGTATTTTTATGTCCCTATAGGGACATGTTGGGAGTCGAAACTTATTCTCCTCAACTACATAGTCGATAGGCAACACATTGAGTGCATTGGTGCAAACATTGGACTGAACAGTTGTACGTATATGTGCAAATTCACAGATAGCTTGGTCTGTGTAATAACTGTACACTGGGAATTCGCACGAACTATCCAAAATAAAGTCCAATTTGTTTAACTTTTGCTGTCATATTTGATAGTTGTGTCGAATTTAAAGAAAACTGCACTAATGGTTAATAACTAATCCATGTGCAGTACTGAAGTTTGGATTCGATTACCACTCGAACTAATGACCAGGTCACAATAGGACTGCATTTACCTTGCATATCGGCTTATACCTCCACATTCTAGTCTTGTTTCTCCGCTTCTGATGATCTTTTGAACAGGTCCCAAGCACAGGTTTGATCACAGTTCTTCAACCCAGTTCTGCCACACCGATGTCCAAATTGTTTCGGTCACGCCGAAAGTTTTCCGTGACCCCGCATTAGGTTTTTTTCGCGTACTTCACCTGACATGATCCGGCACGCATAGAAGATACACATGAACTACTAATTTTTTTGGGGGGGGGTATAGGTTTTCATCGTAGCACCGCTTTATTTCGATAGAAAGACTAAATAATCCCTGTTAAGGTCAAACTTAGAGTAGTGCTAGATTGTTGAAGTCCGGCGCTAACACGAAAGCCCGGTCCTATTGGACTCTTTTGACCAGATCACGACAGCCAAAATGTTGATATATTTACGGTTGAACTGGTCCATATAGACATGGTTTTCTGGCCTAATTAGAAGTCACAAGATCCACTCAACTTTGTGTCTTTTTTGCTTCCTTTTTCATTTATTGGATATACAAGTGTATAGTTGACTTTCAGGACGGGGGTCGCGGCCATACAAAGGCTGCCTGTGAAACTACAGACAGGGAAGACGGGCGGCGATGGAACGGTTCGAACCCGGGACTTTCGGGTCACTATTTGGTGACCTAACCATCTGGCTATCACCGCATATTCGTGCCGGAGACATTTATCAGCGTCAAGTAGTGTTTTCTCATATTCATCTATCTTGGTGTTAAGAATGAAAAATAAAGGATTGCGAATAAACACTTATTAGACCAAATATATGCAGCAGCAATTCGGTCAGTGCTATGTGACACAGAGACGTGCCCACTAGAAAAACAGGAAGATTGATTGTTGGTATTTGAACACCGCTATCTACGCCGCAGTGCTCGAGTTCGGTGGTACAACGGAACTAGCACTTAAGTAAACGCGGTCGCCCATTGGAGCAAGTGGTTGACCTCCATCACTTGTCACGATGTCGGTTGTCACGGTGTGCGATGCTTGCCGAGTCAGATGATAGGTGGAAAAAGCGGTCAAACTAAGATCTGGCATGAAGGAGTGAAAACCCTGACCAGAAGACTTGCTCACATAGATCGCGTTAGGTTTCCTGTATGGGGACTTCGGGATCAGCGTAACCGATGATCAGGGACATCGATTGATGTGGTTGAGTGCCGTAACCAGTGGCTCTCTTGCAACCCCAAACTGCATGAGTTCTCTGTTTTCAACTTGACACTGCATTCAACATTCCGACCCCCTCCCCTCCATCCAAATGGACTACCAAAAGACATTAACCAAAAAACCACCGCACGAAAATGCACGGCTGTCTAAACCGAAATTAATATGGATACACTAATGGAGATGTAATGATAGACCGCTATGTGATTGAAATGTATTGCAAATATCTTGCGCATTTTGTCTTCCTCGTGCAGGGTGTCGGCGCAGATAACGATCAAGTCCTTGTTCTTGCTGCTACCAACATTCCATGGACTCTGGATCCTGCCATTCGACGTAGATTCGAAAAACGCATTTACATCCCATTACCCGAAGCAAATGAGCGAAGCAAAATGTTCCAAGCTAATCTGAGCGGCTCACCACACACGTTGACACCTGAGGATTTTATGACTTTGGGGAAAAAATCTGTGGGTTACTCTGGTGCTGATATCAACATTGTGGTTCGTGAAGCTTTGATGGTCCCTGTGCGAAAGTTCCAGAGTGCAACACACTTCAAAAGGGTATGTAATAGTATGAGATATATTGGTCTTTCGTGCGTGGCATTAATTTTCGGCCAATCATGATAGCCTCTTTTCGCACACATTCTTTTACTATTAGTGCCCATTTTTCCACATGATATTTCTCATTTGAGCCCTTGTGATGTTTTTTTTTCAAGGGAGTGATTCTGAACCGGGCCCATTATGAAACTAGTAAAAACCAGTTTTCTTTCCGAATTTGTTGAGGTTCGAAGCATCTAACCCATCAAGTATTGTCATAGGATCACCGTTATGAGTCTTCGAGCCGAGCTTTTCTCGCACTCATTAATTGATATGCAAACGAGGATAGTGTGGCGAAAGTCATTTCGGGGGTACAACTATAAGAATANCCGAACACCCATACTTGATGAACTGCGAACTCAGTAGTTTACCTTTTGGAGAACGTTTTGCTCCAAATCACATAAATTAGTTTTCGTTTTATTATTATTATTATCATTATTATTAGTTTCAATTCCTACAGACACTAACCCTTTCTCGAGTCTCTTGTGTAAGCTTATGTGCTTACATTTCAGTTAAAAAGATGCACACAGAATAAAATATAACATGCAACGCGAAACATGTCACTAAAGTTTGGTTTATGTACACCAATTATGATATAATTCACTAACTACTTGTTCATTGTTGGTTAGGAATCGAGTCAAATAGGCCACAGGGAAATTCTTATAAATGTTAACACAAAAGGATAGATTTCGGTTGATTTCGCTTATCGGTCCACCTGATCATCCAATAGATAAAACAATAGGATTAAACTGGGATCAAGTTGTATTACCAGAATAAATTCACCCAGCCCCATGATCTAATGTCTTCAACCCTCATCTAGGTTCATTCTAATAATCCCAACCGGAAAGTCTATCATAGCCTACATCACTCCCCCTATCGGTTGAGTATGTCACTCTTCCACAGCACGATATTATCCGACCAATTTCGATCTCCTTCACCCCGTACCTGCCGGAGGAAGCGTTACATGCCGAAAGTTCCTGCTCGATGACATGCTACTTATTTTAATCTCCACAGTCTACAAAATTCGGGCACTTGCATTAGTACACGACCAAACCTGAGCATTGCCTATCCGTTAGTCTCATCACACTTGGACTACAGAGCATAATTGACGATTTTGGAACAAGTTAACCAAAACCAAATGAGCGTTCTGTGTGTTTAATAACACACTGTTTGAGATTCGTTCATCGAGAAGTTCAAGTTATCTAACTGTTGTCCTTGATGAGTCATCATATAGCCTACACAAATCAGCTTTCTTCCTATGTTATTGCTGCACCAAGCTGGGAAACGCAAACATTAAATGTATTTACTGAATTTTGATATATATTTTCACTTTTTTTATCAGGGGAAAAAACTTACAAAGACTTCGCATATCAAATCCCATAGAGTGTTTACACTTTGGTTCGGAATACGATTCACCAGATCACAGTTAGTCCATGAAAGTAAAATAATAATGTAATGTTTTTGACGAGCACAGAGGAATATATTATGTAGTTGGGTGTTGAAACATAATGTTTGCCAGAGCATCATCAAGCTGACGCTTGAAAGATACTAATGTTGGCGCACAGGCCACGCGAGGTGGTAGAGTGTTCCATTTGCTGCACACTGACTGCAAATGAATGGCGTCTGCAGTCGAGACGACTCTTTTGGTGTGCCAACTTCAATGGATGCCCTCTGAGATGAACATTGGTTGATAGAACCAAAAGAGATCTATATGGATGGTTGGGCTGTTGGAAAATCCGATACAGTAAGATCATATCGCCTCGGATTTGACGATGTTGAGACGAGTATAGTCCCAGTAGTTGTAATCTTTCGCCATAAGTCTTGGAATGTAGACCTTTGACCATCTTGGTAGCCATTCAAGCGCCTTACGATCTCGCTGCAGCCATGGGTTCCAGGTCTGAATTGAGTACTCGGTGTATGGACGGATACATGTAGCTAACAGATCTAGAAACAAAGCCGGCTCAAACGATCCAAAAACACGTTTGAGCAGTCGAACCTGCTTTACGGCCATGGATGATGCTGTGAAGCAGTTTGTGGAGCAACTCAAGTCTGCACGAATGACTACTCCCATATCCATCTAGGATGGACCATGAGGCAGAGTTTCGTGTCCGAGAGTGTAGGAATAACAACCAGGGTGACGTAGTGATAAAACTTTACATTTGGTAACGTTGAATTCCATATCATTGGAGACAGACTGTCTGTGGGCTTCGTCAAGGGCGTTCTGGCGATCAAATGAATCTTCTGGTTTTGTTATTGTCCTCCATATTTTGGCATCGTCCACAAACAGCAGAGTTTGTGGTCCGAGGACGTCTGGAAGATCATTTATAAAGGCAAGGAAAAGACGTGGGCCTAGTACAGATCCTTGTGGAACCCCACGGTTGACATCCATTGGATCAGAAAGTGAATCGAAAACACGAACTGACATGGCACGTAGGCGAAGAAACTCCTCGATCCAGCCAAGTACGAGTCCACGGATTCCATAATTATACAGCTTCCGTATCAGTATTTGATGATTTACTCTGTCAAATGCTTTAGAGAAGTCCGGGTAAATAACATCCACCCCTTGGCCTTGGTCTACAGCATGAGTCCAATCGTCCCGAGCCAAAATCAAGTTAGTTGCACATGAACGATTTTTTCGAAACCCGTGCTGGGCTGGGGATAGTAAGTCATTTTTCTCCAGATGATTCATTACCGAATCTGCAACAATAGATTCCATGACTTTGGACAACACTGGAAGGAGCGTGACGGGTCGGTAGTTGGCTGGGTCACTACGGCATCCACCTTTGTAAATTGGTGAAATGACACCGTTTTTCCACATCTGAGGAAGCACGGTATCTTCGAACAGTTTTTGGTATAGCTCACTTAAAGGATTGGTTATGTGACTTGTCAGGGTGATAAAGGCTTGTGGATGAATGTTGTCTAAACCCGGTGATGAGTTCTTCTTCAAAGCCAGGAGCTTTGCTTTTATCTTTTCGGGAGAAAAGATAGTTTGTCAGTAATTGGTAAGGAATGTGTTCCAGCAAACGGGGAAGTACGAGTCCACCGTTACTAGGCGCATTGAACACTTGAGAGTACTGTAGTCTAAGCATTTCTGCAGCCTCCTTGGTTGTCGCTGAAACACGTCTTGCTGAGTTTAGTATCGTGTTTGACTTTCCGGGAAGCGTTTACATGCTTATGTAGTAGCTTGGGTTTGCGATAAANTCAGCATTTCTGCAGCCTCCTTGGTCGTCACTGAAACACGTCCTGCTGATTTTAGTATCGGAACACCGTGTTTGACTTTCCGGGAAGCGTTTACATGCTTATGTAGTAGCTTGGGTTTGCGATAAACTTCCTCGCCAGCATATCATGATAATTGTGCTTGTCTCTCCGCACCAAATTTGTGCAACGATTTCGAAGGAGCCTGTAAGCTTCCCAAGTGCTGGGGCATGGACAGCGTTTGAACTCCCTCCACTGAAAGTCCCTTTGCATTATCCGTCTCCTGGTTCGACTGCAAGTTGCTGATTTTCGGACAGTCGGTTGGCATAGACGCTTGACGGTTGTACCAGCAGCCACCAATGTTGTGACGCTGTTAGTAAATTTTCTCCAGGATTCCAGGGGATTGCAGCTTGTATCAGGGGAGATCCATTGGATTCCATGAGTCAGGGTGTTTAGTCTCACATAGTCGGTTATGATGCGAAAGCGATCCGAAGAAGCTGTTATTACTGATGCATAGCAAACGTAT